GGTCGGACTCTGACAGTTATCTTCGGATTTGATTCTCTTTACCTCCTGTTTCCATTGCTCCGCGATGATAAATCTCAACCAGGGCTTTGGCATGTTTAATGGATACGAGTAGCAACCACTGCACATCAAGCTGATCGCAGCTGCCAGATGTCGTGAACCAGACGTTACGGCGGAGCTCGCCGCCGAGCTCGACGCACCTCGAAACGACTGCCGCAATACACTGCCCATCTGTGAGCACATGCAGCTTGGGTTTGGAGGCCAGCAACCCAGTTCGACAGTCTTATCAGTCTTCTGAAGTACAGCAAGGGCTGCATTGTCACAATCCTGCTGCAGACACTGCCACTGCGTCCGGAGCTCCAAGGGGCGTTCTTGCGTAATCTACAATGGTTGTGGATGGGGCCGCGACCCATTGCACTCATACCGTGCACTTTGCAGCTTACTGTTGACAGTGTAGAAACAGCCGTATCTTTGATGCTTCGAGTGGCATGTTGGTGTTCGCTATGTGCTCCTGGCAAGTGAGTCCGCTGCAGAGTCAGCACGCGGAGCTATCAGAGCCCCTCGCGGTCCTCACCATGGACTTCGAACCACAGGCTCGCCACCTCTTTATGCAGCAGCTAGAGTCTAAACAACGCGCTCTGCTCTGACACCCCGAGATCTTCTTGGGTGCCTGGTCCGGCGACCGTGCCGCATCTTGTGCATACGCACGCCTCGGTCTCTCAAATTCTGGGAAGCCCCGCGTACGTTACAGCTTGTGCTGGGAGCAGGGCAGCTTCAAATCCGGATCTGAGGCATTCCGGGGGGTCCAAGTAACCTTTGCCAAGTACTGCTGGGTTGCTGCGGAGGAACACAGCACCAACTCCCCGTGCCTCCCAATTGCCATCGCAGAACTGCAAGCGAGCCTGCAAATAGATCCGTCGCACGTGCGTTGTGGGCAGATGCTGGGCACCAGAACCTCACCGGAGGTGTGGACATATTCTGGATGATCATCTTTGTCACGCCCTTCCTGTCCGTTCCATGAATAGCTGCGCTTCAGGCCCTGTTGAGTTTCAGCGAAACTGACACAAAGCCATTCAAGCCCTCCCATATCTCCTGGCGGTATTCGCCATTCAATCGGGCATGACCGCAAGCGGTCACGTAGACCACCGCCGGAAAGGGACAACCGAGATAGGTCTCCTCTTACGCATACTTGGATGCTTCAACCCGAGGCTTGTAACTGCAAGCTGTAAGCCCTTTACCATGGAGAAGTCGCAAAGCCGGAGAGCCAGGAGGATGTCAAACTTCCCACGAGTCTCGATTTCAACATGATGTTCCTTCGCCTAGGCTGATTTCGGCATCACGTAGCATCGCCTCAGGCATGGCCTGCAACCCAAATCCGGACCACGTGGCCGCAGGGGCCGGGCGAAGGGCGATGGCGACCAGAAGCACGAGGCCGCAGCGCAGAACCAGAGCGAAGGAGGCCAGGAAGGCCAGAGGATATCCTTTTTGGGATCTACGAGTTCTTAATTCTGCTTCTAGGAGAGATGGTGGACAGCCCGGTGTCCTATCGGAAGGTTCATGATGATCAGAAAGGGTGGTCTGGTCAAGAGGTAGTAGAGGAGGTACCGCAGACGCGCTCGGCCTGGAGCTTTCAAGTTCGGGCGTTTCGGATTTCTGGGTCTGTGGGCCCAGCCTGGTGTGCATGGCAGGTTCTCCAAGCATCTCCAATCATCTCGACAGAGTGCGCAGCACCCGCAAAAGCAATGACAATGGCGAGTGCACTTCCTGCACACAGAATCGCAGTGCTACAGTGCTCATGGACCATGCCTTGTCAGTCCTGCATGCTCGGGTAATGCAATAAAAGAAAAGAATGAGGCGCGAGGAGTAGCCTGCGCAAGCACATGCGCAGTCGACACAGTCGGAGCTACGAGCATCAAGCCTGCAAAAACGATGGCATGGTCGGAGGCACGAGGAAGCCTCAGCCAGCGAAAACAACACGACGACGACGACGACGACGACGACGGCGGCCACTGCTACTACCACTACCAATGCTGCTGCTACTACTACTACTACTACCACCACTACTACTTACTACCACTACTACTACCACCACTACTACTACTACTACTACTACTACTACTACTGCTACTGCTACTGCTACAACTACGACAACAACTACTACTACCACACTGCCCGGAGGAAGGAGAAGAAGCATAAGAGAAGGTAATAAAAATATGCGCAGTAAGCGTGAGAATGGGAGAGCGAGCGAACGTCGCTGCACGCCGGCTTCTCAGACCATGGCGTGCGCTCATCGGTCGGCCCCCACCAGGTGAGCATCCAGAGAGCCGTCAGGAGAAAGTAGCTCCAGCCTTTAAGTCAGACCCACGGCTGCCATGAGAAAGACCTCTTCTGCCCTGGTTTTCTGGATTGTGGGTACGGTAAGACTGATCTCGGCGTCCGACGCCGCCAGCGAGGTACTCGGGTACCTTCTTCGCAGCGGAGGCCTGTTTAACTGCAGAGCCGAGGTTTCTACGGCGGATGGCCAATGGCTGCCAGAAAGCCTGCAGCAGCCCAAAGCCACGCGATCTGCAGCAAGAACTCCACAGTAGCCCCTGCTCGGAAGGCCAGCGACCCGTGCACGAAGGTTATCCTGCTCAGGGAAGGAGTGCTCTGTCTCAAACTGGATTGATGCCCTTTTCCACCAACTACGAACTGCAATTCATGATTCGACTGGTGACTAAGGCCTGGGGAGTCCAGAGAACAGCCTGATCCAACAGCAAATCCGTGAAACTCATGAACTGTCAAACCGCCGGTGCACAAGACCATGTGCCCAGTATGAGCTTCTGTACTCAACCCTTTCCGCGAGCAGAACCTCCACACTTTCTGACACTGGCGCCGGCACTTGTCATAATTTCGGATGAGTGGGCTGCGATCTGCCTTGTTCCAACCATTTCCAACAGCCGATCTGAACGTTAAACATCTCGGCGCGAAGCACTTCTGGAAGTAAACGAACAACCTGCAATGAGAGCTCCCTTCTCCCCGCCTCTGCGAGCGGTCCGGGAGGGTGTGGAAGCTCCGCGCGTAGGTCAGCGCCACGCCGGCGCAGGCCAAAACGGCGAGCAAGGAGAGCCAGCCCTGGAAGGAAAGCCCCCGAACTCCGAAAGAACAAGAGAGGGTTTCACCATGAAAATGATCATCATCGTTACTATGATTATTCAGATCATCTTCGTTTCATTAGTATTACTACTCTTCATACTGCTATTATCAGCAATAATATTAGGTAGTAGTAGTTGTTGTTGTTGTTGATGATGTTGTTGTAGTTGTTGTAATTGTTTATATTCTCATATATTATTATTGGTGTTAAGGTCCCATATTAGGAACCAACTACGGCTTTCCTTCCTTGCATGGGAGGCCTCTGGCGGTCTGCGTGGGCCACTGGCCCAGCAACAGGAGCTTGGCCGCTCCACGAGCAAAGCCACCTACAGCTCAGCTGTGACTGTGACCGTGCTATCGGTTTGGTTGTGGCCCCCCAATGACTTCTGGTGTCGATTTCCTCTCAATCTTAGCCTTGCCCTGTGATGTGACGACGGAGCAGAATCCCTAGAGTGAAACCTTGCCTCCGAAAGCGCATCACCCTGAAGAAAGCAGCTCCCGCTCCCACTCTGCCACGGAACTGGAAGATAGAGGGCAGCGCAGAGCGCCACGAGGTACTGCAGTATTCCGACGACCTCGCGTCTGCTTGGTGTTGGGGCTTTCGGGAGTTGCTTGTTGCAATCCGCGTGGCTCCCTCGAGGGGCCGCAGCAGGGAAGGCAAACTGACCTTCAGGGACCCAGGCAAGAATGGCTAGAGTTGCTGAAGCTCCCTGACGGTGCCTCAACTGCATAGATCACTATGAAGAATGTCAGGGACACTGCCAGCAGCGTCCATGGCACGGCAATCAGCATCGCCTGTCTACATCAGGGACTGGTCACCACCCGCAAGACCATGCAAGACCTGAAGCCTGCCTGCGCATCCCACTTCGAGAATGCCTGGCTCGGAGGCGGCACACAGCATCTCTTCGGACTGGATTTAAAAATCAATTCCGGCAACAAAAGGCAAAGATCACCCGCCCGGCAAGGACCAAGTGACTGCTGAAGGTGCAGCGAGGAACTGAAACTCACGAGCTGGCGCGCCTCTAACCAAGCCCCGCTCGCTGCATGCATGCGTGGAGTCCGGAAGAGGGTGGTTCCGGGATGCCCATCCTGTGACATGTCGTTTCTCGAGCCTTGGCAGAAAGCACAACGAGCGACGCCTTTGTCATCGCAAGCCTGCCTCAGATGCACGTTCCAGATCTGGTAGGGACCATGCCAAGAGGGACCGTAAGGAAGGAAGCGGGCAAGGCCAAAATACGCTTTGCTATCCAAGCTGCTGAAAAATGCCCTGGATCGCGGACTTGCCCGGGCTCCGAAGCATCAAGGCACCATGCAGCATCCGAGATGCGAATGACTCTGATATATGGTCACATTTCACTGGGACGAATACATGCTGCCAATATCGCAACAGCAGAGTATGCATTGAGATGACACCGGCTCTGGCCTCTGTAGCGTTGCTTGTGCAGACATGGCAGAATGCTGTTGGCAGCAAGATGTGCATTCAGAAATATTCAGAAGCATGCAGGCACTGCCAAGACACCGCAGACAACTGAGGCCAGATGCTCGCCGACTACGATTCAGATTGCTGGTACATTACCTGGCAAGAATGCCTGCTGTCACGAAGAGTCTCAACAGCCCTGGAGCAACTCCGGCCTGACTGATGGTAAGCTGTGCCCCTGCAAGGTAAGAGGGGCTCGGGAAGCGTGAAGTCTCGAGCCATTGAAGGAGCAGGATGCGGCTGTCGCAGTGCAGCTGCAGAGTCTTGGAAGCAAAAAGCCACAGTAGCATCAGGCTTCGAGTTCTTCTTGCAAGGGCTGAAACGATGGAAAATCAACAGAAGTCTGTGAAAGCAGTAGTTGCTTACTGGTGACTGTGACTCCATCGGCAGCCACTCATGTGAAGCGGCTTCCTGGCATCATCCGCCGTGATCAATTTTGAGAAAATCGGAATGCCGTCCCTCCGCAATCAAAGCTGGCAAGCCTGGAAGGATCTGCGGATTGTTTATCACGGTGGTCGGCCAGGTCGGCTGCTGATAGCTGCCCCTGTCGACCACGTACTGCGCGGGCATTGAAGTCATCTGCGGCGCCGAGATCAGCCTGGTACCTCGGTATCCAACATCCCTAAAGTAGGGATCCGGTTCCCTCCACAAGGCTTCCCGACCTTGCACCGATGCCACGGCCCCACCAGGGGGAGCCTGGGCCGACCTCGAAAGCCGCGCTTGAAAGCCAAATTCCCCCCCCTCCGAAAGGGCCCCGGCCAGGTAAAGGCTGGTCGAGCAAAGGGAGCGGGCCTCTGAAAAGGGACTCGGGACTCCGAGTGAGGGAACTTTAAGATCCTGAGATCTTGGCGTGTACGCCATGTTCGAGGCCTTCGAGTGCGAAGGACGTCGCAACAGGCCGCAACAACCAGCAACGTGTGCTTTGCAAGCAGTTTTCTGCGAGCCGATGTGGTCATCTCAGCGACTGCCAGAAAGAGTGCCAGCTACTACCGTTCAACAAAATTCTGCTTCTTAACATCTGTGTATTCGGCGATTTCTGGCAACCGTTTTTGCATCCACTGCAGCTGAACACCGCAACATTTGGAAGACTGGAGTGACTGAGGCTACCAACAAGCAGGGACAGTGCATCACTCCCTATTTACCATTGAAGATCACGAACTCGCGGTGGTTCAAGTAGTCTGCCTTTGCGGGGCACAGGTACGAGTATGAGCCTTGCAAAGCGATGCAAAGCTGACCATGCCTCGTATAGAGTGTGTCCGAAAGCGCCCCACTTCACTTCCTCCAACCACTCGTCCTCACTTTCCAGCAGCAATTAACAGGTCAGGCTGCGACCCCATAAGCCCCAGATGCACATGATGTACATGTATACAGTGATAGACTGTAGTGGTTGGGGATTTTATTTAGCATGATAGCTTGCGACATTGTCTCACGGTATCTTATAGTGGATTGCACCATACAGCCTGCGTAAGGCCTTAAACCCTAAACCCTAAACCCCAAACCCTAAACCCTAAACCTTAAACCCCAAACCCTAAACCCTAAACCCAAGACTCTTTTCGCTCCCTTTCGGCCTGGAGCTCTCCACAAACCAAAGCCTCGGAGCCGTCGATTTTCAGCTCGGCCAGGGTCCGGTCCTCACGGGGTGCCATGGGGTCTTTTGGGCACCAGGGTGCTTCGTATACACTTAGTAATGTTCAAGTTACAATCAGACACTTTATGTATTGAAAAACACCCGCTCTCATCGCTTCTTGAAGGGCGAAAAGACCCAGGCCACCTCGGTGACCTCCCTCTGCTCGCCGTCGTAGATCACGAGCTTGCCTTCGCAGAAAGAGAAGACCGAAAATGGCGGAGGGTGAAAAGCGGTTGTGTAGAAGTTTAGGGCTTTAGGGGTTTAGGGTCCTAGGGGGTTGAGGCGGTCTCGGGGCATAGATTTGAGTGGTTTAGGTCTCAGGGCCTTGGGTTTATGTTGCAATCTGCGGCCTTGCTCGTAAGGCGGCATGCGGAATTCCTTGCACTGGTACAGGATGACTTGCCTTGCAGAGCCCGCAGACACTAACAGCACTTGCACCAGCAAGCTGGGAATAATGAGAAGGCCTTCATGCAGGCACATAAGACTTGCATTCGGGGAGCTTTGACACATCGATGCCGTGGTCGGTATTGAGCCGCTTCATGAGGTCCCCAAAGGTGGCATTTCCCCCGAGGGACAAGGATGCTGTCGTCTTCTTGACAACCACCTTCGACTTCAACAGTAAAGAGCTCTTTGCATGCACAAGTCTCGAAGCCCGGTCGCCTCCACAGTGACCATGGCTCCAATGCTCGGTCTAAATTCACAGATGTGGCCGGAGAGTGTGGATTCGCGCTGTCCTTCCCTTTCGCTCTGTACATCTAACAACGTTTAACAGTGTAACAACACTAAAGGAGGTTACTGGGTTCCGTCGCTGCAAGCAGCCTCTGCAGTTCCCTGTCCAGCCCAAAAAGTTCGGCAGTCGCAGCTTCGTAAATCAACTGTCACCCCGTCATGCCTGAAAACCGCTGTCACATCCAGCATGCACCACCAGAATACCCAGCCTGCCCTATCGTGGCACCGGCGCCTGCAACTCAGGAGACACAACATCTTTGTCACCTGAAAGGTTTTGAGGCAGCCACTTCCAGTTCCAGGTAGCGAAGAAGTAGAAGGGTTCAAAGGCATCGCCACGGTCGTGCTCGGTATGGAGACCGGTCGGCTGGGAGTCATTGCCGCGGGCCTCTCTGGGTTGTGATGAAGCTCCCTCTCCCACTCCATGCCCTGCAAGTATCGTGACTACATAGCTCGTGGACTCCAACCAAGATTCTTCTGGCCTGCAATCATCCTGAACTCCTAACCTTCGTCTCTGCGCTGCACGCGCCTCCGTACAACTCCTATCGCAGCTTACCGCCAGACAATAGCCGATGCATAAGACCAGGTCCAGTGCCAAGAATGGCGAGGACTAGTTCCTTTTCCGTCTTATGCGTTGCAAATGTGCTAGGTTTAAGAAAACACATGCAGCATGCAAGATGTTGTGATCCCAATGTCTTCCACTGCAGCCGACCCTGCCGTGAGACTGTCGCGAGTTTGGTTTAGCTGTAATACAATAAGTCCACCTACCCGACCCTCGGCAAGACAAACGACGACCCCACGATGCTCATGATAACGGGCAACTGCTTTGGCCTCTGACGCTCACGATGCGGGGTGCAACTTGGCGTCACAGTCTCAGCTGTTCATGATGCAGGCTATCGTTGCGTCGAAGTGTTCTTCGTGCATCCTCATTGAGTTTGAGGTGTGGGCTCCTTGCCTCTTGTTCCTGGATTCTGGCGAGTATCTCTGAATACTCTGAAGGATGCTAGAGGATGCAAGGAGCAATGACTAGAGCTTGGACAACAGCTACTGAGCTACTACACTTGACTACACCTACATGTACAGCACCGTAGTGTCCGGTTTCGCCCCGACCTCGGAGTCTTCGTGGGACTGACTTGCTCCAGCCGACGCACCTCTTTGCGTTGAGGAACGGCGGTGTATGTATGTGAGTGTGTGTATGTATGTATGTATGTATGTATGTATGTATGTATGTATGTATGTATGTATGTATGTGTATGTATGTGTATTTATGTGTATGTATGTGTATGTATGTATGTGTATGTATGTGTATGTATGCGTATGTATGCGTATATGTATGTGTATGTATGTGTATGTATGTGTATATGTATGTGTATGTATGTGTATATGTGTGTATATGTATGTGTGTGTGTGTACGTGTGTATGTGTGTATGTACGCATGTATGCATGCATGTATGTATG